TGTACTTATCTTTGTTAATGACAAAAGTAATGTCATTTTTTTTCTTTTAACAACTTTACTAGTTTCCTATCACTGCCATATGCAGTGGCTTAAATTATCATAAACTTAGTTCCTTGAGACAACACAAATTTATTTTATTTTATATTTCTGGATGAAGTTCACCATCAGTCTCAGTGAGCTTAAATTAAAGTTTCTGCGGGGCTATTTTTCTTCTCAAAGCTCTCAGGAGCAAGCTTCTAGAGTGCTCACCGTCCTTAGCCCACGGCCACTGATTCTGTGTAGCGATTTCCACCTGTGCACTTCAAAAACAGGCAGCACAAACAGATCCCTTGGCTGAATTTCCTGGAGTATACTTCCTGAACTTCATCACAAACTCTCTCATTTCTTTATGCAAGACATTTACCTAAGAACCTTGGGGAATTCTAATGATCTTGGATATTTTTAAGCTGAAATTTTGAGGTACAATATAAATATTTTGAAACTTCCCAGCTGTTAGTAATAGCAATGTGCTTTCCAGGGAACCCTGAGCAAACAGTGTGGTTTGGCTTTATAATTACTTTAACAAAACATCCTAATTAAAAGGGCAACCCATAAGGAATTGGGGTGTTTCTCCAAGTCACGGTTCATCTTCAAGATGTTTATAACAAGCAGAGAAAGCAAAGAGAACTCAGAAGTTAGAGGTGAAAGGGAGTTGCCTTTAACAATCTGCACATAGTACTACTTCTGTCTAGCTGATTTTTAGGTGTCAGAGTTACAGTTATAAGTAGACCATTTTTGGGGTTCATCAGAAGACTGGGTGGCATGGGCAGTTAAGTAATACAATGTATCTAAGCAGTGTTTATGTCCCAGTTTCTTTCCAACACAGCTAGATTTCTTTGGCTATAGCAAAAGAATGACTTCCATTTCATGAGATTTACAAAATGAGACCTCCTTATCCGTGCTTTGAGGAAAATCAAAGCAATTTTTTGTGTAAATTTCTGACTTGGATACTTAGGATTCAAATCGTCCTAACAGCATTGAAAGCTTTAGTGGAAGTACTTTAAATATCATTTTATGATTTAAGCATTTGTTTGAATAACTTAAAATGAGATGAACTGTTAAAGAAAACATTCTTCATTTAAATATATATTAAAGTATGTATATACACACACACCTATGTGTAAATAATATGTATATACATGTTTATGTATGCATATATGTATATGTATATACACATATGTATAGACATACATACATATATATCCATATCTATATATGCTGAATAGTCTTCTGGAGCCACTTATGACCACAATCAAGATTCTAATCCATTCATCCATACATTAATTCCTACCAAACATTATACTTGTTAATATTTGACTGATGCAGTCAAGAGCAGCAAACCAGAAGGAAGGAAGAATAACAACCACTTTAAGGAAGTATCTTAGTAGAAAGTGATCATAGGTCAATAAAATGTGAGGGCTTTAGAAACAATCCTATTAATTTCTTATAGAGCAACCGAAAGCTCCATTCTTTATTTTTACAGATTTAAATGGTCTTAAAGGGGTTTTAGTTTGCATTATGCTTAAACATGAGCAATCGAAATCATGATCTATAACAATATTACATGCAAGAAATATCAACTTCACTAACTTCCTTTTTCATTTACCTTTTATTTTCAGGTTGCTATTGTGTTTACAGTGAGAAGGGAAAAGAATTGTTTTAGTAATTATCCTAATAAAGATGTAAAAAAATGAGAAAAGATGCATAAGTTGAAAGTGTTATAATATTAGACTGGTAACAGATAAGGTGAAGTTGTATTCTGAACTAATAGTAGTAGAAAAAATATTCCTAAAGGCATGCTTTTTCAAGAATGTCTATATGGTATTCCATACTCTTCCTTATAATCCTGTTTGTCAAAAACCCCTTTTCCCTCAAATTTCTAGGTCACAGACTACTTGTTTGAAAGATTTTCCAATCAGTGCAGCCATGATCTGTTTATGTATCAATAGTGCTGTTTTTATTTTCGAGTTTGTACTCTTCATGACTCAGCATACTATAAATTATATTTCCTAATAACTGATCAATACTCAAATAAGGAAAAAGTGAAGAGGAATGCTGCATGTAGAAGAGAGGTGTTCTTAAAGCAAGATCATCACTGAAAAGTTCAAATACATCCAATTAAGCATTTATAATTACACCGCTTACGAGCACAACACACAAATTCTTGATTAAAATAGGTTTTAGAATTGGAATTCACAGAAGGCATGGATATGAAAACCTGAGTTAAAAGGAAGTTTTGTACTATTTAAGAAGCTGTGATTTTATATTTTGGTTCTACTTAGATTGTGACTCATTCAGAGTCAGGAGAAAGAACACAAGTCAAGTACTGAATCTCATTCTCTCTGGATATTTTATAGGACCTCCAGCACCTCTGTTCCATTTATTTTCATTCCTTCCAGTAAGAGCTATAGCTCCTAAGATTTGGGTAAATGACATGACCTCATTTCCTAGAATCTTTTGCCTTGAATCACTGGCTACATTCACCAAGTCATTGCTGTGGGATTAGTGAGAGCTTCGTTCTCATCACCCACACTGGACCTGAATTCTCACAACCTAGTCTTGATGTCCAGCTTCGTGGTTCCTAGTTAACTTGAGCATGTCAGTGACCTATTTTTAGCTTAAGTTACTCTTCTTGAAAGTAAAGCTAATAATACATACTCCATCACGGTAAATGAGAGGATAAAGTAGATTTTTAACAAGGGATACTTTGATTAAATAAATATATGTATGAATGTTATATGATCTATTGGTGAATGATATGAATTTTGTGAAATGGGCTTTGGCATAAATTATATAACAAATTAACATCTCAGCCATTTCAAGTTATTTTTCTGCAAACTCCAGTATTACCTTTAGTATTGTCCTAACTAGGTTGCCTATGTTTGTCTACTTCTAATGCATTTTTTGTTCTTTAGATTAATTTCTTCAAAATGCAATTTTAATTTAATTTTCTAAATTAGTGGATAAACAAGTAGTTGATTTGAAGACATTCTTTTTTTGTGGTACTGGGGTTTGAGTTCACGGCTTATACCTTGAGCCACTCTACCAGTGCTTTTTTGGGGTGAGTTTTTTTGAGATAGGGTCTCATGAACTATTTGCCAGGGTTGGCTTGGAACCACGATCCTCCTTACCTCTGCTTCTGGAGTAATGAGGATTATAGGTATGAGCTATTAGTGCCTGGCAAAAGATATTCTTAAGATGATGTTCAAACTCTGGTCCAAATTTGGTCTTGCCAGTTTAAAACATGCTTGTGTACAAATCTCATCACATGCCATCTCTGTGTTTCAGCCTTGGTTGTCTTTTTGTAGCTCCTAACAGTGCCATTGTCTGATGGCAAATTTGGAATTATCTTACTCTAACTTCCCTCCTGCATTTGTAACACACACTTTTCCATAGCTAATTCTCACTTGTCTTCAAGTATCAGTATTAATGCAAATATTCCATTTGTCTGTCTTATTTACATCTATCTATCTATCCACCTATTTATCTATTATTTATCTATCAATACATCTGTCATCTATCTCTATCTATCCACCCATACATTCATACATCCTATGTTGGATATTAAAATTATTGAACTATATTTACACTACAATAATCTCTTTTTCCTGTGATTTCACCTAAAATGTTTTTGTATACCCTAAGTTTCATGAAGAAAAGATTACGCCTTTCTTCTTTATTATTGAATCTCCAGAGATAAGCATAGTGCTCAATGCTTGGCAAGTCTTCTATAACTATTCTTTGAATTGAGGCACTGCCACATTGCAATGATTATCACTATTGTGGAAATAGCATCTGTTCATTGTTTCACTGACATCATAATTATTTTAACAAAACCAGATTTATGATTCTACTAAAATCTAAGTATCAATGGTGTTATTTAAAAAAAATAAGATTGGAAAGATGGAGAAGGAGGGTAATAAAAAGGAGTTCAAGAAAGATCACTTGAGAAATGATCATGGATGAATTAAGACAAGAATGAGAAGGGAAGGGAAGAAGAGATAGAATGGTATGATCAAAGGGAATGGGTAGAGAATCTTTACCTCCCATTTCTACTTCAATAATTTCAGGTCCATAAATTAAGAAATAAGTGATTCTCAATGTTCAGTATTTAGGCAGCCATTTTGTGCTATTATGTTTTCAACACAGAGTGGGCTTTTTTATAGTCTCCTTTTTCTTTGGCCAAATTTTAATCTCCTATCTTTAAGTACACTGATCATAACTTACTTCCTTTTCAAGTGCCTCTCATTTTCATGTATCTCTACCTCTTTTATAAGACAAATTTCATATGGTACATCTATTTTATCAGTTAGACTTTTCTTCCTGTTGCTACATTTACTCATTTCTCTTGAATTTTATTTTATTTTTATTTATGCATGGTGTTCTCATTTGAAAGGTGATATCTCATCACTGATTTGAAGATTCTGCTCATATTTAATTTTTCAATATATGGATTTTATATGAATCTTAAAATCTCACCCATGAATTTCTTAAGATAACAATTGGTTAAACAAATTAAGTAGGTTGTCCTTTATTTCAAAAAATCATAGTATAAAATATGAATACTGATACCAAAAGCAAGTGAAAATACGTACTGATATTTTGCAGAACCATCATAAAGAAGCCAGAAAACATAAGCAATCTATTTCATGATTACTGTCAGAAAATACAGCAGTTCTTTTCAAGAAAGTGGTTATGGATATTTAAAACAAAGAAATAGAAAAATACTATATTTCATATTATGGTGAAAAAAGTAACTTATTTTAGGGTGGCAATTAAGGCACAATACCATAGTGGCAGAGTAGCAACTATTGACATAGCATTGTTGATTACTCTGTATTTATGAATGGTTCTTTGTTTTGTTTTGTTTTGTGTCTGAAGAAATGGGAAAAATAAATGACCATTGAAACTGAGGTAACAAAGAAAAAAGAAATCGCAGTGAGATAGGAGAATGGTCTTACCATCTAGATCGTTCTCTGGAGTCTCTGCTGTGTACCAGTTGGAAGGTGGTCCAGTGCCATTGACAGTCATGGCTGACACTTGGAAACTGTACTGACTTCCCTTCTCCAGTCCTATGAAAGAATTTTTCACCAGAAAAAAGTTATTGAACAAGATTTTCCAATTGGGTTTCAAAAGTTTTAGAAAAACTTTATTATTAAATAATATGATATGCTTTACATTGCTTGTGATTATTGTGGTAATTATTGCTATTTTGACTAAAAGAGCAGAAGTATCACAGTATGAAATCAAACTGTGCTCATATATTTTCATGTATTTCTTCCAGTTTATAAAAATGTACCACTGAAAATAGCCTCAGGGCAGATGCAGAGTATAAAATATGAACGATGAAGAAATAATCAAAAATAGCAAGAGTCATTTTTCCTCACTCTTCAGAGGAGCCCTGCCTATAAATCAGAAGTAGTCAGTATAAAAATTTATGTTTGCATCATTCATTCAAGGTCAGTGATTATGTTTACTTTGGCCCAAGAAAGAAGAATCCAAAGCCCCTGCTCGTCACCAGAAAATAGCAGGGCTTTCATTTCTTGAAACCATCTTTCCAGCATATGTTCTTTTGCATCAGTTTCCACATTACAGATGAATGAAGTTGATCTCTATGATAATTTAGACATGGTATATTATACACATTGATAGCATTAAGGAGTATTGTAGAGAGCAGAAAAACTACAGGTAGACAAAAGAGGTCCCATGCATCATTGATCTAATAAGTCTAAATTATGATGTAAATAACTTTTCTGTTACTTAAATCTCATAGCAGCCAATTAGCATGGCAAATTATTATAAAATAAATGAAATTTATTCCTGTGGCATGTGTGTCTCCCCCAACACTTTAGTTGCTATTGTAATATAAAGGCGACATTTTAAGACATGATTAGACCGTGAGGGTCTTGCCCTCATAAACAGACTAATGCTGTTATCATGGCAGTGGGTTAATTATTGCAAGAATGAGTCCCTATTTAAAAAGATAAAACTGTTCCCATGTTTTCTCTATCTTGTGCACTTGTTTGTACTTCCACCTTCTGTCCTGGGATTATCCTTGCCAGACGCTGTCACCATACTCAGATTTCTCAACCTTCAGAACCATGAGTCAGATAAGCCGCTATTGTTTACAAACTACAGTCTGTGTAGTCCTGTTACAGCAGCAGTAAATGAACTAGAATACTTGTTAAAAGACCAGTGTGACACTTTTAAGACACTGAAAACTCAGTTAAAATTGCCACGTCCTTAAATCTCAGTGATCTGAACAATTCTGGTAAAGATAAAAATGTAGTTTTTTCCTATTTTTCTGTCTTCTTTCCATTAATATAAAATAAGCATAAATACTGGGTTCTCTCTCTCTCTCTCTCTCTCTCTCTATATATATATATATATATGTATATAACTAATTATTGGAGAAATATGCTTATATTATGAAACAAATTATATAGCTATAGATTTTTCTATAGGAAGATGAGCACGTTGTAATATGGGAGATTCTGACTCACCACTAATAGGAGAGGATGTTTTAGGTGATGGCTATAAAGGACTTAATAATGCCAAAATAAAGCTGTCTCTAGTAATTAATACTATTAGAGAAAAATACTAGATAAATTTATCTACACAAATATTCTGTATAAAGAGAAATTCTGTTTTCTAAAATAGTTTCTGATTTTATAAAATAAACTCTAAATTCCATGTACTGAGAATGTAAGTGGCATGCTTTTTTTGGTCACTGGTGTTTTAATTTTATGTTAATAGGGTTCACTAGAATGCCTGGTACATAAAAGTTCACAAAAATCACCCCTGAAAAATCCAGTAAAACTGATTGGGGAGAACAGTACTTAACACAAAGGAAATGTAGGATAAATACAGCATTCAACATCATCAAAATCACAAAGAGACACTTTTGAACATAAGGCTTTTGTGATCCCTGAAGTAGACTTATACTCACTTCAGTTTGTTAACATGACTTTGAGTTGATATTAACATTTTTTTTACTCTTTCATTGGCACAGTTGTTGATGACTGAGGCAGAGGGATTACAGAGCTCTTTTGGGAAATTAAAAAATTAATAAAGAAAACTCCTAGAAGAAGTGCTTACCTAATCATTGCAGCTTATATCTTTCACAGTGGTCTTGTTTGTAATAGAATTTTGATTCATCAAGAAGGAACATGCTATTTATGTTAGGTAGAAATTTAACTTCATTTTTATTCACAATTGATAGACAATGTCACCAGTACTATGACATTGTCTCTAACAACTGAAGTGAAAGGATATCTGTGATGATCAGTTTTATGTGACAACTTGGCCAGGCTATATTACCCAGGATATTTAAACACTAATCAAGGGGATGAAGGGCAGGTAGTTTGCAGATGGCATTCAAGTCTATTTGCAGTTGGTTTTAAATTATGGATACTGTCCCAATGGGTCAGCTCCATATTGGTAAAAGGTCTTAAGATCAGAGGAAGGCTTCTCTGAAGCAGAATTTCTACTTGTCGGTATCAACTTCAACTTGAGAGATCCAGCCTGTGTTATAATCATTTAAACTCGTTCATTAAAACAAACCTCTTACTTGACCTCCCACATTTAAGTTTGACTAATACACCATTTTATCACATGAAATATTTTGACATATGAATGGAAATATTTTTGATTGCCAAATTATCTTTCTTTTATTCACCTAATTTTGAATCAGGTGATTATTTTTACATACAGAGTATCAATTTTAATATAATTTAGTTAGAATTGCAAATTTCTTCTAATCATTTTGCCAAAGTTTTATTTATATATTTTGAGTCCAGAATCTGTCAAGTCATTAAATTCAGTTTTGAGTAAAACATAGCCTGTAATCGCTTGAAGTTAATGATAGGAAGCAGTCTAGAGACTACATTTTTATGAATCTCTCCCCAGTGGCATCTCACTTGGCCAGCCCAAGCTGTTTGTTGCAATATCCCTTCCAACCATGTACAGTAGGGGAACTTTTCATATAATCTTCTCTACTACATCTGCCATGAAGTTTGAATACCCAAACAGATTAGTGGCCAAGGTTACTCTGAAAATCCTGCTAAATTTCTTTGAAGTATTATGCTTTATTTTCAAAAAGAACCTTGATTTTGTATTTTATAGTAGAACTATGGAATTTCTTTCACTATAAATACCTAGAAATACTAAGTTAGGCATAAAATATTTAAATATGTATATAAAATGCTATTAGAAAAGGAAATCTTAAGTAATGACTCGTAAAATGACTCATTTAATGCTAAACATCTAACAATGTCACCATGTAAATAAAGCAGAGATACCTTTACAATGAGGAATTCTTTGATGTATGGGATCCATTTTCAAGTTTCACTTGTTAGAAAAGTTCTTTCTTAGATTATACCAAGTCTCCTTTACATAACATTACACACAGATGGTCCTAGCTTTACTCAGGTAGATTGAAAAAAATCAAATTCTCTGTTAGAATAAGTTCACCCAAGTCTTTAGATTATAAATTCAGTGTCTTCTGTATCAATCCTTTTCACCAGAATTAATCTCTTTTCTATATCTAAGTAAAGATAGTGATAAATAGAACAAGAAAATTTGGCTGTTTAGGGAGGTAATCTGGATATTATCTTCAGAATTCTAGTTTGAAGATATTCCTGTTTTAATTCCATGAGGGATGCTTGGCTGAGCAAGTTTTAGATGCACTGAAAACTCTTAGAATCTGTGCTGCACATATGACCTGATTAGCTAATAATATAAGTTTCCATCTTTTAGTGTTCTTGTAAAGATCAATTGACAAATTTCTTATAAAAATAAGTTATAAAGTCAAACATTGAATGGATGTAAAGATAACTAAAACATTGTATCATTTGATTTTCAAATATACTGATTTGGCACAGAATATATTGTTACTTCCTTTCTAGATATGAGGAGATTATATTTAAGAAATTAAGCAAGTCCTGTCCTGTTGTTTTAGTTAGAACCTGGTCTGCCCTTGAATACAGAATCTGATCTCTGTCTCAGCTCCTGCTGGGCTCCAGAGATCCTGCAGTAAAGGCCCACTGGTCTAGGTTGGAACCAAAGATAGATATCAGCAACAAATGAAGGCACAATGTAAATATACAAGGAATTTACGTTTAGAGTGATTATAGCAAGAACTAAATTATTTGTAGGCAAATAGAATGCAAATAATGGTACTATTACTGTCAGCAGGTTAAAGTAACAGATCAATAACACCTAAACTTCAGTTTTAAAAAAAGTTAAGTTGATCTCTTTCTTAGAAAAAAATGTTACCTTGTTATAAAGAGGAAGCATACTCAAGAGTTATACCAATAATCACAATGATCAAACATTTTTCTTGGGGGGAGGAGAGAAGATCCAGCTCAGCTGATATTAAAATATCGTTAAATGCTTCATTCATTCATCCATTCATTCACTGGAGATAAAGGAAAGCCCATCTGTATTTCTGTGTGCATATTCCTAGAAGTAGGTATTTTGTATGTGTTTCCTGAATTATGATAATAAAGATATTACACAATATTTTAAAAATAGATGTGTCCAGAAAGCTTTGATTTTATCTTTTGTAGAGTTATTCATCTCCTTTAGCTGCAAAGGGCATCTTAACTTCTGATTATACAACAGATATCTCTTCCAGTATCCCTTTAAACCTTCATTCAATCACACATTTCCTATGGTCAGCAACACTTTACCTAAAATTTAAAAGTTAACAGCATTTTGTGTAGAATTAGGTTTGGATTGTATTCCATCACTTGCTAGCTATGTGAACTCGTAAACCTTACTGACTCTCCCTGTTTGTCTCGGTTTTCTCCTCAATAAAATGGGGATACACAAATATAAATTATTGTTAAGATTAAATTTAAAAACATATACAAGACTTTTAACATAGTGGTTAATGTCAAATTTCAGTACATAAAGTCATGGTTGTTATTTTTGTAAATGTTAAATATTATTTGCAACATCAATAATCTTTTAAAGAATCATGAACAAAAGTTGTTACTCCACAGTAAATTAACAATGGGAACATGATATAGTGCAGGAGTATATAACTAGAAAATGGTGCACCTGCCATTCATTTGTGATTATCCTCTTAGTAGAGATTTCTTCAGACCTCAATTATCTCTTTTGTAAAAGAAGGGGTTTGGGTGAGATGCACAAGATAATTCCTGCTATTTGTTATGAGTCTATTGTTAAATAAATCAGTGCTGTGTGTTTAGATGTGTGTGTGTATGTGATGCCTAGATGTTTCTACATACAGCTTATTCTAAAGACTGTATTGTATAGCTAGCAATGGTTTTCTCAGTAATAAAAATTCTGTGTTGAAAACAAATTATCTCTGTTCACTTATATCCTTAATACTAAGAGCCTTCAAGCTCTATAATTTTTTGTTTTATTTCTAAGTTCTTAGATCATATGGCAAAAGATAGTATATTATTCTATGTATAACTTCCTTAATGCTAACCTTGTTATAAAATTGCAATCCTATTGTTTCAATTTTTCAGCCCATAAAATATCAATGCATATTTATCATTACATTTATCCTTTATTGGCCATGAAATATGAAAACACTCTTAAATTCAATTCCAAACAATGTTTTCTAAAAAGCACTCAGTCATTTTAAAAAACAAACTTTAAAATTTAATTGATATGGGTTCCAACAATAAAACAGAAAACAGAGATTTAAAATCCTTGTTATAGCTCTGAATTACTTTGTTATTGCAGATGTCTCATTATCCTAGTAAAAAATATACACAGCAAAAACCACCTGTCTAACAAATAGAGGATATTATTAAAAAAAAGTTTGATTCTCTGCATTTGACTATTTATATCATACAAAGCAAGCATTCGGGCATTTCCAATTTTCTAACAGCCAAATCAATATATCCATGCATCTTACAGGCATTGAAAACATAAAGTCAAATCCCATACATTTTACAACACTGCAGATTTATATGGAAAATCAATTACTTCTACTTACAGCAAAGTATATCAGTTACTAGATATGACCTGGGGATAAGTCTAAACCACAGACAATCTTCCAGTGCATAGTAATTCCATGCTTCTCATGCTCTTGAAAACATTCCCAAGATGTCTAGAAACATAGCACGTGTTTCTGAGTCTAAGTCACAAGACGGGTGAAAAAGGAAGAGACTTCTCCAGGCATAGTTGTAGAATTTTAAGGGTATTGCACTATGCACTAACTCTTCTTATCACTTTAGTTCAAATTAAAAGGGAGTATATGTGATTTCTTACAATAAATATCAGTTATATTTACAAATGTCACTGCTTGGGTTGTTTTCATTCCCAAATGAATTTTTATAACTCTTGAAACAAAGAAGTAAAAGTGTGAATAAAAGATTCAAGTTTGGGATTCAGATTTCTATAGAGATGTGGCTGGGTATTTATGAGCTACTCCAATTTCTTTGCTTTTGCCTGGAATGGTATTTAGCTAGAGTAGTGATGGGCTACCTATCCTGATTAAAAGCTCTAATTGTCACACATATTTTAGGTGAATAAAAATGTAGAGATGAATTATTTATTTTTGAATGAGTAAATTTTATTAGAGGATACAATTCAAAATGATTGTCCTTGAGAGGAAAAATAATGAAATGAATCTGTAATGAGAGAATAGTGTCTTCCTAAAATTCATGCATAATTAGAACATCAGACTATGACCTCACTTGGAAATAAGGTCTGTATGGATACAATTAGTTAAAAATCTCAAGATGAAATCACTTTAGATTTGGGTGGGTCTTGTATTTTATGTCCTTATTGGAAGAGGAAAGGAATCAAAGACACAAAGAAGGAAAGTGAGACAAAGATGTAGGCAGAGATTGTAGCAAAGCATCTACAAGTCAAGTAGTGCTAAGGACTGTTGGCAACCACCAGAGCTTCTTCCCTAGAGCTGCCATTCTGGTCTCTTGTACTGTGACCATAAATTTCCATTGTTTTAAACCATCAATTTTTTTAGGCATTTTTAAAATGCTGACTTAGTGGTGAATAAAAAGTCTTTGACAGTGAAAAGCTAACACTTGTTCTCTCTTTCTGTCTCTCTCTTTCTCTTACTTTCCTTCTCCCTCTTTCTCTTGCTCCCTCAATGACTTTAACTCCTATAGAGGGAAAGTCCTAAAAGTTTGGATATTTTGAGAGTGAGGTTATTAATTTTAAAATACTGAGCTGAATGAGCTAAATTCCATTTATGAAACTAAGTCATAAATACCAAGCAATGATGCAATCAAATTCTATTGGCCAAAGGCTACTAGTCTTTATTTATTTTAAGATTGCTCATTTCTTAGTTGTCCAGAGTCTTGATTTTTTAATTTACTTTTTATTGTACATACCCAGTTGCATATTCTACTGTTACCAAGAGTAAGCAATCCTGACCCTCAACATTTTAGAATATATATTGTTGTTAACCATTTTAGACAAATTTTTTTAATTAAAATGTAGATTTGTGTAGAAATACTGACCAAAAACTGAGTTATCAGTTAGCAATATGTTTAAATATTCAATTTGTGGTTTGATATCTTTATACTGCATCATTTTCAATAGAAATACGATATGCGATGATATTATGTCTACTTTAAGTAACTGTAAATTGGTAGATATTTAGGTTTTTAAAAATTATTTACTATGAAAATGCTGCAACAAACACAATTTTAGTTTAAAATATTGCAAAAATATGATTGTTCCTTAGGATAAATCCTAGATGTTGGAAAACAGTTAGATCTTTATGAAAAAAGATATACACACAACACATACATTAATATAAATCTGTATACAACATATACATTTCCAGAAAGATTACAGAAATTTTCTGTCCCAAAACAGTATGTGAGAGTTTGCATTTCTTATATGCTTTTAAGAATAGGGTATCATCATTCATTTTTATTTTCATTATTTTAATGAAAGGAAAATGCTAACTCATTTTAACTTGCATTTCTCTATTTACCAAAGAAATTGAACCTTTTATTATGATCCATTTTATTATGGCCATTTATTGTTCTGTGAATTGAATATAGAGCCCTTAGATTTCTGTTGTAATGCTTATCCTTTACTTATTTTATAAACAAAGTTTATTTTACATTTTTAATACTTTTTCATTTAAAAAGGTAAAATAATGAAAAAATAGTTTCAAATCTTCAGATCTCTCTGGAAAAAAGGAAAGATATGTATTAAAATATCCTTAAGGTCTCATATAGTCTAATATTAAATCCTAGGAATTATACTACCATTCTCAGCTAGATTTTTCAATGTTGGTGATTTCACTGAAGGTAAACTACATGCACTACTAGGTATCCTGACGAGTACATGCCTCACTTTAACTTCAGTTATTTTTAACCTCTTCTCATGATTTCATCAGAAGAAAAGAAATAAAAAATAAGAGCATGGCTTTTTAAAATCTTTTTAAATAGTATGATAACTTAACTTCCTCTTAGATTCAACAATCCCTGCTTAGGAGATCTTGTCCAGATTAAAAACAGGGTTTGTGATTTTCTGTGATTTAGCTTGGAAACACTCTTATCACCATGTTAAAATTATATTGACAAAAAAACTTCAGAAAAAAATCAAGACTAATACGAGGTCTCAGATTATAGGCTAAACAAGAGACTTATAAAGTGTGTGTGTGTGTGTGTGTGTGTGTGTGTGTGTGTGTGTGTGTGTTACGATTTCAAAAAAAATCTATTGAATACCTGGTGGATAGAAAAAGGATAAGTGAAAAAGTTTCTTGCTTTTGTTTCCTCTTTTGCAGTGATAGTTTATTCATCTAATGTAAGTTATATCCTTTGTAGTCTGTACATTATTATGGGCTCAATTTATGTGTTATCACCAATTTTGTCACCTTTCAGTCACTGTCATGAGTCATTACTGTATAATTTGCTTCCCCAGGCTCTAGCAATAGCTTAGGAAATTCCTAGAGTCTAGGAATTTTACCATTTCATGGTAAAGCTCTGATCCTTGCTGCTATCTTAGATCAAGTGACCATCATATAAACTGCTGATACTCAAGGGGTGACCTTTACGTTCACACACTCACCAGAAGATCTGGTTACCAGTGGTCTGCTGGAGGTATACACAGTAGTCAACCAAATGTTGGTAGACTTTGGCCAATGATAAACAAGAGAAATTGTTCACATTTTCTACTCAGTCATAGATTGTAAGATATATTAGTTTCTGTGTCCTCTCAAGAAATACTCCACGAGACATGTATTTGTTCCAAAATTGTGGCCACCCCAATTCACCATTTTCTGATTTCTTCTCTTCCTTTACTCACTTTCCTTGTTCACTCACTCTTGCTTTCTTGAGGTCACACTTTCACAGGCATGACCTTGAAGTCCTTGCCTCAGTATGTTTCCTAGGAACTTGGAAAGAGAGGTATTAAGAGTTCCAAGTTTAAGGAAATATATGATTATTAATTTTATAAAATAAAAACCACATTGTCTTCATGAAAATTTGGCTGAGCATTCAAAAAGAAGTGTAATCTACTAGGAATTCTACCAATACTGTTATGAAAACAGATTTACTTATGTATTTTTGGAACTAGAACTGTCTTTGCTTACCAACTTACCATTTTCCTCATTCCCTGCTCCCCGCCCCCAGAACTTGGGGAGAGACAAAGTAAGTTAAACTTGGAGCCACATCACATATAGGACTTTTAAAAGTTATTGGTTAAAAATTTAAAAGTTATTAGATAATAGGAAATGTTGACTCGGCAATATTGAAAAAGTAATATATATAAATATTCTGTGATACATTTATGCATATGAAGGCCCAGAAGCAAAATATGTAGTGAAAGCATTATATAGGATATAAAGTTAAAAACATAAAGGTTATTCTTGATCAGGCCAATAAATGTCACCTGCCAAGAAAAAAAAAATCAATGTTCCTTTGAAGTAAGAGTATATTTTATTCTTAAAGCATTTAATTCATCAAAACCTTTCCAGACTGCACCATGTGAACGCTGACCTGTGAACAGGTACCAGAGGTTGTTTGGCTCCAGTGTTTCCATCTCACCCCTGCGGGTTGTCTTTCTGTGTCGAATTTTATAGCCAGTAATAAATCCATTTTGTGTTCCCGATGGAGGAGGAAGCCAGCTTACTTTGATACTCTGTAAAATAATAAATGTAAATTAAGACACTGGACAAAAAAAGGATAACAAAATAAGGTCAAAGAAGTGACCCAAACACAAGTGTGAATAAGGCAGAAAGGCAAGAAATATTATGGATGGCCTCCCAGAATCAAACTACATACCTTCTTACACTCTAACAGCTTTTATATTTGTCTTCTTTTAATAAATACATACACTTCATTTGATTGATTATATGCATTGTCATCTCTTCTTTGTAAGCACCACTAAATGACAGTAAGATATTCTAAATGGTATTAAATGACTAAAAGTCAGAGAATAAGAGTACATTGGATAAGAGGTATCAGCAAGAAGGTGTAAATTGGATGGAAATGTGGTGACTGAAGTCTTCCTTTTCTCAGCTCAAACCTAAATACTTCTAAGAAATGTTAACGAAAAGCAAAGCAATTCCTACAATAAGATTCAGGGAACTCTGAGAATTGTTCCTTCCTACATAACTTGGAAGGTAGGACTGAAGCATGGTGCTGAAAGGGGATAAAGTAAAAGTCATGAAAATGAGGTAAAGTCCAGGCGCCTACTAACAGCTAGTAAACCAGTCTACTAACTAACCCTCATTGAATTTGAAGTAGCTTGGAGCTTTATGCTTTAAAGATACTGAAGACAGAGGCCACAGATTTGGATATCAGACACAAATGAGAACAGGGAGGTAAGCAAGATTTACTAGGCTGAAAAGATGGAAGAAAAAAAGATAGTGAAGATACAATAAAACACACTGAAAACTATTGAGCAATACAGGGTAGGAGGAAAAGGATAAGGAAGAGTAACAGAGGGGTCTGACTGATTGAAGTATAATATATTTCATGTTTGTTACTTGGATGAAGACAATTGTCAAAATTCATTGTTATTTACTTAACTGTGCCCCTCTAGAGGCCTATAGTCATGTCCTAACTCCCAGTATCTCAGAACGTGATTGTGTTTGGAGATAGGCTGCTCAAAGAGTTCAGTGATACCATCAAGGTTCAGTGATATCATTAGGGTGGGCTCCAGTTCAATGTGTAGTGTCCTCAAAGTCTAGGTGACTGAGTCACAGGAACAGATGGAAGAAAATCATGTGAACACACTGGAAGAAGATGGCTACCTATAAGCCAAGAAGGAAGGCTCAGAAAAACTCTTCTACCAGGCTGGTTGCTCTTTGATTAGCAGCCTTCTGAACTGAAGAAAATAAATTTCTGCTGTTTCAGCAGTCCTACAAAACTAACACATTCATGGGGTTTAACACATAAAATTTGTAAATTTCACTGTATTTTACTTACACTTCAACCAAAGAAAAGAAGAAGATGAGAAGGAAAAGTAGGGGAAAGAGAAAAAGAAGATCAGAGAAGAGAAATGATACGAGAATTGTGTTTCCACTAAAACTAAAATTGATAAACTGAGAAATATTTGCAAAAGTGCATTAAATAGCACAAAGGAAAATGCTAAAAAAAGAAAGAAAAGCTAAAAATGTTTTTAAGGAATGGAACACAGCTAGAGGAGAGAAAGAAGGGGCCTTGTTCAGTTTTATTATGTCTGTTGGTGCTATGTAACTTTTTAAAAAGAATCTGCATGTAATGCACATTGAATTAAAATTAATTGTTGAAATAAACACAGAAATTTTTGTTTTGAGGTTGTAGAAATAAATGGTGGGCTGTGAGAAAGAAGTCAGACCCAATATCAAGGAGCAGAATTCTCAGAGCATGGGCCATCAGCCCAGAGCCTTTTTGACTTCATCTCAGTCATGTGGCAGAGTTGCCAAGACAAGACAGTTCTCTCCAGAGAGAAAGAAGTCCAAGATTCTTTTTCCAGATCTACTACAAAATAGATAGTGCTATATTTATAATCAACTTCTTTTATAAAAGGAGATAAAATGAGACAAACTCACAGTTACTTGCTAAGAACTTTGACAATGTTAAAGTGAGTCAACTACAGTAGATTCTTATTATTCCTAGTAATTATATTATATAAATGTGCTCCCAACATTGATGCTGTGAATATTATAATATTTCTCCTAGGGAAAATATAAATTTATCCTTCCATCCTCTGATTACATTTTTTGTCAACTTGGCTGTGTAGAAACTTCTTTTCTGCATGTTTTTAAGATACTTTATTTAATATTGCTGTCTACTCATTAACATTGAATTTTAATAACTGAGCAAAACTTATTTAATGCAAACATTCTCTCTGTAAGGCACAACACTTCCTTTCTGCACTTAAGAACACTGAATAGCAATTCAGCATTACACTCAAGAGGCATTTTAAACAGCAAAATCACCAATAAAACACAAAATGCAAAAAACATGCCATGAAATAGACTTAAGAAAGGACGTTCATAGTCAGTATGAGAATTGGAGGCAGCTGGGCTCACCGCTATGCCATCAATGCCTCCTCAGCATGCAATTTGAAACAAGAAGGCAGGACTTCTTATTCCACCCCAGCTGGGAGATGTCCCTCTGGCCACTCACACTTTCACTGCTCTGCCCAAGACCACAAACGACCATTAGTAATTTTTTGGGGTTACCATTAAGTTTTAGTAGGTAAGCATCAGCAATAATGAGGATCAATTGTAGCATTGTAAATATGTTATTCACTACTGCAAATGTGTAAAATATATTATTTATATATTTTATAATAAGAAATATAATATAAATATAAAATTCTCATTTTATATTTATTTTGGTAATTTTAGAGAACTCTAATGACATAGAATTGATCTCTCATTTAGGAATGTTAGCACATGATTGAAACAATGTGGCATTACTGACATCATTCACTCACTATACGACCTTTTAAACAGGAGAATTAAAAAGAATTTTTATTAATATTTGTTAACAACTTTTTAAAACCTACTACAGATCTGGCAATAGTTCACATACTCTACATGAGTTATGTTTCTATTCTCATTGTGACTTTATGAATTAGGTTTAACTGTTGTGCTCTTTAACTATCATGTTAACTGATCTATGAAGTACTTAAGCAATTCAAAGTCATGTAGCCAGTAAGTGGTGCAGGCAGGATTTTTAAATGCAAACCCATGAACCCAAAGCTGATATTCTTTATTATTTAATACTGCCTTCCAAAAGAAGCTTAAGAGGTTGAGAATCTAACTCATTTAGTTATTACTCATTCAAAATATATGCTTGGGATGAAGGAAACACTCTAAATCATGGTTTTCTTCACTCACTGTTATGACTGAAGAAAAAGACAAACTAATAATGAGAAAGTAAAGTACTAATAGAATATTCCATAGGCATTAGAGGGAAAGATGAAGTCTTATGTGGTCAAAAGACTTTGAAGAAGTCTACCCCTCAAGTGAGAACAGGACTTCATTCAGGGGATGCAAAAGCTATTTAAGATTGAGAAATACTAAGGATGAGGTAGAAGTGTCATAGCCTCTTCAAGACAAGGTCATATAATACCTTAGTGGCTAGAGAAAATGAGATACAAAGGACAATGAAATTAGGTAAATTGGATAAAAATTTTCTTTCAGATCATACTAAACAGATATATGGTGGGATCAATGTATATAAGGCATTTGGCTGATCTCTTTGGGAGACAAATAATGAATAAAATAAAATATGCTGTATCTAGCTCCCAGGGTTCCCATAGTCTTCAATATACATAATCCTCACCTTTCTGTTTTCTCCCAACTACACACACATATATGCACATGTGGGGACCTGTTCTTTGGTCTAAATGTTTTAGAAACTAGTAAAGAAAACTAGAATTCAACAAATATTCAGAACATATTTATATTCCTCTGGATATCTAATTTTTATTTTTCAATATTTCAAGGTAGTGATACCATATAATATCACCAATTCACAGTTGTACAAAGAAGGGAATTGAGGCAGAGAGTAAAATAAATGAGTGAGCTAACTTTTCCAATTGTTGAGCTCAATATTATTCTTACTTCATATATAAATAGTCATGTGGCTCTATTTGGGAATTTACTCACCTAAATTTTCACACAAATATTCTTGAAAAGAAAACTAAATTTCAATAATTACATTATTTTAGTAGCACTTGGGTTTGAAGTCAGGGCTTTGTGCTTCCCAGGTAAATGCTCTACCACCTGAAACACACCTCCAGCCCTTTTTGCAGTGGTTATTTTGGAGATGGGGATCTTACTTTATACCCAGGATGGCCTGGAATGTACTGTGATCCCCCTATTTTATGCTTTCCTCCATCACTGGGATGATGAGTGAGGGCCACCATGTCCCCTCCCATATAGATGGGGCCTCACAAGCTTATTTTGCCCAAAGTTGCCTGGAACTGTCACCCTCCTGACCTCAGTTCCCCGCATAGCTTAGCAAAACAGGAGCATACATCATACTCAGCTATTGGTTGAGATGGCATCTCCCTAACTTTTGGTCCAGGCTTACCTCAAACTCCCATACTCTGAACTTAGTCCTCCAGGTAGCTAGACTGTAGGCATGAGCCACTGACAATGAGCTCAATAGTTACTTTTAACTACATTCAGTAAATCTTCAATTCATAGCCTGTGCAAATCAACAGGGATCATTTCCTAAGGATTACAGCTTGTTTTTAAGTCAAAATTAAATTCAAACAAAGGAAAAATTCAAACATAGATTATGAGCCTTAGATCAAGAGTTAGAACTTTTTGATGTCCATCAAATATTTTGCTATTACTTTGCTAGGAGACCTCACATAAGTCTTATAAATTACTTAAATCACAATGTACATATTGAAAGAGGGAGAAAATTGTGCTTAGTATGGCTACAAAATGATTATAAATCACTTGATAAGCCTGGAGATCTTAATTATACTAATGATTGCATGAGTAGTAGTTTTTGACAGATAATAATTTCATGATTTCCAGTGATTGAATAAATGATCCCCACATAGCCAACCTCTTACTATCAAAGCATAATAGCAATTAATTAATAGAATCAATTACACACTCTATGCTCCAGGATGTGAGTGTCCTCAATGGTTATTATTCATCTTTGGAAATAATTTTATTA